CAAAACCAAGGGAGTCCGCGCGCCTAGTAGACTACAATAATTGTACCTTGAAAATACATGCAAACCAGAAGGGGTTAGACGTGGAAGATATTAAAAATGAAGCTTCAGAAAAAAAATGTTTTCTTTGTATTAGAAAATTTTCATATATTGGTGACGTTATACCAGAAACTCCGGAAACGGCGCTACCATGTGGGACCGTGGAAAAAGTTTTCACGAAAAAACTATTATAATGTTATCAGAAAACTAGTAACGATTTAATATTGTTCCATAGAATACCGTTTCTAATATTATAAATAAACGATCAAACATGAAGACAGATTTTTTTAAAGCCGCTTTTACTTAGCTACAGGTGTCTGTGAATATGGCGGTAGAGAATGTATGTGAATGCGAGGTGGTAGAGCATGTATGGCATATGGTTGTGATGATGCAAAGATTTTCAAAAGAACATTACTTCAATGGGAGGATGTTGACAAGGTAAAGATCGATTTTGAAAATCTTTTTGCAGTTGTGCGATACATTTTGTCTCGATGCCGGAGTATTCATGCTTTATGACTATTACGATCAATCTTTTATTGAGTTATTAGGCCAATAGAATGAGACTATTTGGTCACATACGCATGAACCTTTATATCTGATAAAACACTCCTTATTAGTATTCTTGATTTATATTATATATTTGTATAATATCTTTATGAGATTGAAAGGCCAATGACCCCAGCAAATGTCTCAGGTTTGACATTTTATCATTGACCAATGCAGGATGTCAACCATTTACAGTCAAACAGACCCCAGGTAGTGTATTTTATTTTATGCGTATTCAATGTGGGAAGACAAGAGTGCTTTGTTAAGTGTTTCGTGCATAATAAGTATGGCCCATATTAATTATCTCAAATCTTAATTTTACGACCATTTCTCCAAGAATCCTAATGGCTTTGAGTTCCAAATTCTAGTAGTGTTGGAGTTTTTGTTCAATAAACTGGCAATTCCTGCTTCTTTATTAAACAGTACATGATTTCACTTCTGGTAAAGGGAGAATATTTAAGTGGCATAAAAAGAAATGTGTATTGCTGTCATTTTATTTTATAATACAATTAAGTTAAAAAAAGAGTATTTCCATAGAAGAAATAAAAAACTGGTTTTCAAAGTACCATCAAAACGGGGCACCCATCCAATTGGATGGGCACCCGTTCCGCCAATGAGGGAGATGATTAGCCGGACCCTAAGCACTATTGACTATCACCTTGCGTTAGAAACTTAACACATCGTGTACCATTTATACCAAAAACTCATTGATCCGCTCTGCCATGTGGGACCAAAAAATTATTCATGAAAAACTTTTTATATATTTTCAAAAGAATACTACTTCAATGAAAGATATTGAAGAGATAAAGATCGATCTTGAAAATATTTTTGCAGTTGTGCGATAGATTTTTTCCGGATATCGGAGTAGTGATCTTATAATACGATTACTCAA